TAGGTGGCGGGGGGATCAGTGGAGGGTGAGGGCAAGGGTGAGGGACAGAACGGGCTCCACAGGAGGCAGATAGAGGCTCAATATGCCTGGCGGTGGAGGAGCGTGGCCTTCAAGCAGCCATTCACCTGCGCTGCTCATGGACGCCCCCCCCCAAAACACCTTATTTTTACCATATCTCCAAGATTCGTAAACATCCTTGCAACCCACCTGGGAGACCTATTATTACTTCTATGGAGAGCCTCACCAATGGTCTCTCCCAATATATAGATTCCTTTTTACAACCCCTGGTTCAATCTTTACCAGAGTATATTAGGGATTCTCTTCATCTGTTAGATACACTCAAACATTACTCGTGGGCTGATAATTACAGTTGGCTGTCATTAGATGTAAATTCATTGTACACATCTATTCGCCATGATATAGGTCTCAGAGCATTAGAACATTTCCTGATATCTGATAACACAATCAATCCAATCCAAGCACAATTTATTCTGAGAGCAACTCAGTTTTCCCTCGAACATAATTATTTAAATTTTGATGGAGAATATTACATCCAAACACGTGGCACAGCTATGGGCACAAGTTTTGCACCATGCTATGCAAACTTCACTATGGTATTCTGGGAACAGTCCCATATTTGGAAAAATAATCCCTTTGCCAGTAAAATCATATTTTATGATCGTTTCATTGATGATATTATCGTCATCTGGCAAGGTTCTTTTTCCACAGTCTCAGCCTTTGTAGATTATTGTAACCGGAACCCTTTAGGATTGTCCTTTAGTCATGTACACAGTCCCGACACATTCGTTTTTTTTTTTTTAGACCTAGAATTGGGCTATATAGAGACTAGTATCTCTTCTAAAAAGAATTTTAAAGAAACTGCTGGCAACTCATACTTACATGCTGGAAGTTGCCATCATCTAAACTGGGTATGTAACATACCAAAAAGTCAGTTTCACAGACTCAACAAAAATTGCGCCAGTAAAGGAAGACTACATCATCCAAAGTAACACTTTGATCCAAAAATGTATTGAGAAAGGGTATTAGGAGACAGATCTACTTAGTGCATGATCTGAATGCCTAAATGTAAATATACCTATACGCATATTAAGTGCTAATAAAGATTCCACAAAACAACATAAAGAAGAACAAAAGAAAATAAGATTCATTACTCAGTTCCATTGCCAGTTTTATAGGATGGAGGGAATTATCAAAAAACATTGGAAAATTCTCAAAGCAGACCCCAAACTAGGGGCCATCTTACCTGAAAAACCAACCTTTACCTATAAAAAGGCACCCAATGTACAAAATAAAATTGCCCCCAGCAAACTGAAACCTAATACCCTCAAAAAATCTTCAGTATATACTCTCAACACCTTCTTTGATGTCAAGGGCATGTGCCAATGTCGGAAAAAACTTTGTAAATGTGTCCCTTTCACACAAGCAAAAATTGTTTTTAGATTACACAGGAAAAAAGTACGAAATTCAGGAATTTTATAACTGCTCCACAGAATTTGTTACTTATTGTCTGACATGTCCATGTAGTTTATTCTATATAGGACGCACTATTAATATCATCAGAAAGATATTTGGGATCCATAGGAGACTTATTGAAGCAGGAGACATAGAACATAGTGTTCCAAGACATTTCATGCTCAAACACAACAAATCTACAAGTGGTTTGTGAGTATGGATCTTGGAAGCTATCCCAAATGAGGGAACATTTGCTGAGAAATTCCAAAACTTGTGTCATAGGGAAACATATTGGATATTTACATTAGACACTTTGGCTCCAAAATGGCTAAATGAGGAATTTGAGGTACATACTATTCTGTAGATGGGGCATTTTCATATACCCTTACCTCTTTATCTGTTTTTGAGTCCATTAGATTGACAAAGAATAACGAGTGTAACTTATGATAAACATTTATCTGCTTCTTTTGATATACACAGTAGTGTATTTAGATTTTGTGTGCTGCCCTAAGCAGCACAAAAATTTTGCGCCCCCCCCCCCCCTCCCCCAATGAGAGAGCAAGAGAGTTCAATAAGTGCGTGTATGTATATATGATTCTCTCTCTCTCTTTACCTTTCTTTCTCTTCCCTCTCTCCCCCCTCTCTTTCTCCCTCTCTCTTTCTCATCCCATCTTTCTCTCTCTCTCTCTTCCCTATCTCTCCCCCTCTCTCTCCTCTCTCCCCCCCTCCCTCTCTCTCCCCTCTCTCTCTTTCTCCCCCCTCTCTCTTCCCTCTCTCTCTTCCCTTTCTCTCTTCCCTTTCCCTCTTTCCTCTCTGTCTTCTCTCTCTCTCTCTTCCCTCCCCCCCCCCTCTCTCTCTCCCTCCCTCCCTCCCTCTCCCTCTCTCTTATCTCTCCCTTTCCTTCCTTCCTTCTCTCTCCCCCCTCTCTCTCCTCCTATCTCTCCCCCTCTCTCCCCCCTCTCCCCCCTCTCTCTCTCCTCTCCTCTTTCTCTTTCTCTTTCTCCCCCACCCTCTCTCTCCCTCCCTTTCTCCCTCCCTCTCTTCCCTTTCTTTCTCTTCCCCCCTCTTCCTCAGATCGTATGGGACCACACACACACACACTCACACACACACACCCCTCTCCAAGGGCTGCCGTTCTCCGGGCAGCAGGACGGGGGGGGGGGGGGCGGGGGTGCAGCAACAAAATATTCAAAAGAAATGCATGTCTAACAAATTATGCACTGATTTGCATGTTCATGAGGGAAATAAGTATTTGATCCCCTTCACAAAACATGACTTAGTACTTGGTGGCAAATGCCTTGTTGGCAGTCATTGAGGTCAGACGTTTCTTGTAGTTGGCCACCAGATTTACACACATCTAAGGAGGGATTTTGACCCACTTCTCTTGGCAGATCCTCTCCAAGTCATTAAGGTTTAGTGTCTGGGCAACTCAAACTTTCTATTTCAATAATTTTATTAAAGAAGTTTTTGTTTTTATAATACAACAAGCTCATGATACACCCATGCAGGGGCAGAGCAGAACAATAACATACATAAGCAGATACAAATCAGCAGGGTGTATTAACCAAATAACAGAGCGGCCAATGACAACAAGGAGGGACGGCAAAAAGCCGAACCAAATAGTTGCAGCAGCAATCCATCATATTACTAAAAAAAAAAAACCAAAGAGGAAAAACCCCTACTGAGAAGTGTCAGCTCAGAACATACGGGAAAAAAAAAAAAAAAAACAAATTGATATAAAAAAGAAGAAAATATAAGAACATAGAAAGAAACGAGAAAGGAAGAAAGATTGAGGGAGAAAACATGGAAGAAAGGAAGACTAGAAGAGTCACGGATCAAGGCCTAGCACAGGCAACGACTATAAGAGGCCATAACTAGTAGGAGGCAGGGACGGCAGGGAATAATGTATCCAAGTTTCCCAAACCTCAAAGAATCTCGGATGAGAATTGTGAAGAATGCTAGACATCTGTTCATGGATCAGCATAGCATTCATCCGGGTCTTCACCCCCTGGAAGACAACTGAAGGGGTTCTCCAAGCTTGAGCTATAGCACGTTTGGCCGAAATGAATAGGTAGGATGACAATTTCTGCTGAGACCTAGACAGACCCAAAATTGGACAATGCAGGAGTGCCACTCTTGCATCCTTACAGACCGTAATATAAAATAACGTTTGCAGCAAACCAAAAACCCTAACCAGAAGCCTATCAATCGCAGGCACGACCACCAGATGTGCAAGACGTCCCCATGTAGACTATAGTTCCGGAAACACCTATCTCCGCCAGTCGGATTAAAGTGAGCAGTCCGAGCCGGGACCTAGTACCACCGCAGGAGAACTTTGTAGGCTGCCTCAAGAGTGACGGTATTAAAGGACATTTTGCCACCATCCCGCAGGCCTTATGCCAATCCTCCGCCGTAATCGAGAAGCCTATATCTCGCTCCCATTGAGAGACATAAGACAGGGGTGGTGAGGAGGACCTACTGTTAAAAGAGGCATAAATCACAGAAATGAGACCAGGGGACTCTGGGGAATGTTGACAGACATGTTCAAAGGGCTTTTTGCGGTAAGGATATGTAGAGTTACAACAGAGGGACAGGACCCAGTGGTGCAATTGCAAATAACTATAATATTCCCGGCACAGGACCCCCCGTGATTCTCAAAGAGACTCCCATGATGGAAACGAACGAGTGTTCAGAAAATCAAGTACAATAACAAAGCCATGGGAGGTCCACGAAGAAAAAGAAGGGGGATGTTCTAAGCCTGGTGGAAATAAAGGATTATGCGTAAAGAGGTAGAAAAGATGATATCAAATGACCCGAATATTTAACAGAATCCCAGGTTCATAGACTTTGAAGCATGACAGGGCTCAGGTCCGGAGGGTGCAACTTAGGCGGGAGCCAAAGCAATGTAGTTAAGGAAAGCGGAGCACAGTTGGGTAATTCCAAGACTACCCATAATGGGATATCCGTCCTGGCATGAAGCATGGACAACTGGGAAATCTGAGCCGCCAAATAGTATCTAGAAACATGTGGGACTCCCAAACCTCCCTGTAGTCTATGAGTATACAGAGTGGATCTAGTCACTCTGGGATATTTATGAGCCCAAATAAAATGGAGAATCCGACTTTGCAATAGACAAAGAAAAAACGTAGGGACCTGAATAGGGAGAGTGTGAAAAAAATTACAGGATCTTTGGCAAGATAGTCATCTTGACAGCATGTATCCGACCATTAGCCGAAAATAAGGCAGAGTAGGAGGTAGTAAGTGTAAATCCAAGATATGCCAGGGAATGGGATGCCCAATGGTAGGGAAATTGTGTCTGCAACCATTCAACCAGCTTGTCAGGGAGCGTAATATTCAATGCAGTGGTTTTAACCACCTCCTGCCCGCCATATAGTAATATGACGAACGCAAGGTGGTTCTCTCGTTCTGGGAGGACGTCATATGATGTCCTCCCATTCTCACCGCGCATGCGCGGCTCCTGGAGTGCGCAGCGCGGCGATCGGCGGTGAGCTGTGTCCCTCGGACACAGCAGATCACCGATCCACAGAAAGAGCCGAAGATGTCGGCTCGGTCAGGTGATCAGCGGTGTCCAATCACAGCTGATCACATGTAAACAGGGAAATGCCGGTTATCGGCATTTCTCTCCTCTCGAGCTGTCACGCTGCTAGCTCAAGAGGACAGGAGAGCCGGTAATCGGCATTCTGCGGAGGGGACAGCTACACTGATCATCAGAGCACTGATGATCAGTGTGCCCTGATGATCAGTGTAGCCCCAGCAGTGCCAGCTGTCAGTGTCCATCAGTGCCAGCTGTCAGTGCCACATGCCAGTGCCCATCAGTGCCACATCAATGCCACATATCAGTGCCTACCAGTTCACATCAATGCCACATATCAGTGCCCATTTGAGCTGCCTTTCAGTGTCACCCATCAGTGCCAGTCAGTGCCACCTATCAATGCCAATCAGTGCCACCTATCAGTGCCAGTCAGTGCCGCCTATCAGTGCCCGTCAGTGCTGCCTATCAGTGCCTGTCAGTGCCGCCTAACAGTGCCAGTCAGTGCCGCCTAACAGTGCCAGTCAGTGCCGCCTAACAGTGCCTCCTATCAGTGCCTCCTATCAGTGCTGCCTTTCAGTGCCCATCAGTGATGCCTGTCAATGCCCATCAGTGCCACCAACCAGTGCCTCCTCATCAGTGCCACCCATCAGTGTCCATCAGTGCAGCCTATCAGTGGCCATCACTGCAGCCTCATTAGCGCACATCAGTGAAGGAGAAAAATCACTTATTTACAAAATTTTATAATAAAAACTAAGAAAAAACTTTTTTTTAAAAAAATTTTCAGTGGTTTTTGGTTTAAGAAAAAATAAAAAACCCAGAGGTGATTAAATACCACCAAAATAAAGCTTTTTCTGTCACCCAAAAAAATTATAAAAATTTCATATGGGTACAGTGTTGCATGACCGTGCAATTGTCATTCAAAGTGCAACAGCGCTGAAAGCTGGAAATTGGCCTGTCAGGAAGGGGGTATAAGTGCCCTGTAGGCTTGTGGTTAAACAAATTGATGGTAAGGCCAGATATAGCCGAAAAAAAACGGTCCAATATGACCAAGACATTGGTAAGAGTGATGAGAGGATTGGTTAAAACCAAGAGAGCATCATCCACATAAAAGTTGGCCTTGCATTGAGTGCTGGCATAGGGGACACCAGAAATATCCGGGTGATTTTGAATGGCTGCAGCTAGAGGTTCGAGAGCGAGAACAAAAATAGCAGGTGATAGTGGGCATCCCTGTCTCGTGCCCCTAAAAATGGGGAAAGATGAAGAAAAAAGCCTGCATATTTGACAGAGGCCAAGGCAGACGAATATAAAGCTGAGATCCATGCCAAAAATGCGTCACCAAACCCACATCTAGACAGCGTATATGTCAAATACTCCCAAAAAGGGAATCAAACGTTTTATAAATGTCCAGGGGGCAACTCAAACTTTCAGTTCCCTGCATAGATTTTCAATTGGAATAAGGTCTGGAGACTGGCTAGGCCACTCCAGGACCTTAATGTGATTCTTCTTGATCCACTCCTTTGTTGCCTTGGCCGTGTGTTTTGGGTCATTGTCATGCTGGTACACCCATCCACAACCCATTTTCAATGCCCTGGCTGAGGGAAGAAGGTTCTCACCCAAGATTTGACAGTACTTTGCCCCATCCATCGTCCCTTTGATGCGGTGCAGCTATCCTGTCCCCTTAGCAGAAATACACCCCCAAAGCAGAATGTTTCCACCACCATGTTTGACAGTTGGGATGGTGTTCTTGGGGTCATAGGCAGCATTCCTCCTCCTCAGTGTTTGGAAATCCACGAGGCATCGTCAGCGGTGCTAGCTATTAGCGTGGTTTGACAGCTGGCAAACTCACTCCTTTGCTATGCCTGTAGCAATCGTACCCACAGAGATGGACACGGTTCAACCATTTTGCTCCAACCTCCATCTTGGCAAAGGATCATCCATCTTGTACAAATATACCTCTCCTCATCCCCCTCCCTCTCTGAGATCCACAGTGACATGTGGGCGGTGTGTGTGTTGGAAGTGTCACAGGCAGGCCAGAGCACAGCAGGGAGCTCCGAGCTATAAAACCTCTCTGAGCTGGGTGCCGGGCGGTCTAAGAAACTGTGCAATCTGGCACCTCGTAAAAGGCTAACCCAAGCCTTCCCCTGAGTTCTAAGACATTCCAAAGGAGTAATAAACAGATACCACTTTTAAAATCCATTTTAAATATATGTCTCATATCTTGGAATATGAGAGACTTAGAGAAAAACCAGGCATATCTTCAGATTGGTCACGAGGAGACAAACCGTTTGATATGTCACACTCCTTGGCTGGAATATATAGGAAAGTAGAAAATTACATCTCTTGAACCATTCAAGTATGTATTTCATATTTCATATCTAACCATTCCGCAGATGCATCTGCATATTAATCTACCCACGGGTGGAATGTTACTTCTGCCTAGGAAAAGTTATGAGCCAAAATATAAGCTAGGAGAGATTTTGGTTCTAGCTTGGGTCTCCGCCTAAACACCCCTCCCTAAATGAGGCATTGGTTCTTGGCTTCAGAGACACCCCTTGCTGGGGGGACTACAAAATAGGCTGTCAGGCCTAAGAGAGAGGGGAAGTTGAAGAAATCTCCCTTTTAACATCAGAACCAACTTGGGAGACGGTGCCGTTTTGCTCTGAAACTTGATCGGCTTAACCCAGGACTTTTGGCAAGTACTCTACCTCTCTAAACTTCTTTCTGTTACCTTTTTGCTGTGTTATTGCTCTCTGTATTTATATATATATATTGGTTACATCTTTTTTTCTGTAAATATTTTTATTGCACCCTTTTGACCTTTTAGTAATAAATCTTTCTTTCTGAAAGTGTTGAACTGTTTCTAAACCTCGTTAATGCAACTTACGAATTCCTGCCGCTGAAGAGTGCTACTATGTGTGTTTAACCCTCTGTATAGCCTGTCTGCGGTGACAGTGGTATCCAGACGATTATCCAATCATCCTAGTGTTATTGCTGATATTGCTGAGTTTCCTCTTTTCTCTGTACAAAAAGGAGGTGGTGCCATGCGTAATTAACCTGACCCAGTACAATCGTTCTCAGGCTGCTAGTACATCGATTGTGGTCCAATTAGCTGGAAAATCGGTGTGCAGGGTGCAGCAGCTGGGCGTGGCATTGTTACGCACGTGATATCGCAGTTTTAGATTGGCTAGTCCTTCGGTCACGAGTTTGGTGAGAAGGGCAGGGATCACATGCCTGATGAAAGGGTCCTGCGAGACTCCGAAATGTTGCCTTGGTGTAACTATGTAATCGTTTATTAGGACCTTTGGACCCATTTTGATGATCCTTTGTGTGCTGGTGACATTTTTCCTTGCTGATTTTGTTCGGTTCCAGCCGACGGTCGCTGCAGCGCCCACTTATACACACAGCCATTTTTAACGCAGGAACGTGTGCGTTTGGACTATACACTTGCAATGGCAGGGATCTGACGCACGATCATCACATATTGGTGGCAGCGGTGAGATAGTTGCATTAGAGCTTCAGTGCATTGTTAGGAATTAGCTCTGCACTGAAGGATTGTAACCTTTGTGGAAACAGTCCTTAGAAACAAGCGGTGCATATTTGTTATATATATATATATATATATATATATATATATATATATATATATATATATACTGTGTGTGTATATATATATATATATATATAGAGAGAGAGAGAGAGAGAGAGGCATATAGCAACAGCTCCTTCCTTTTTCTGCTTCCTACTCTGTTTGCTTGCAATTATGCCTGGTGAAGCAGAATACAAGAAAATGAGCAAAAGTGATTTGAATGCGGAATGTATCTCACGAGGAATGGACGTCGGTTGCAAAACTCGTGAAGATTTGATTCGGGACCTACTGGAGCATGATATCCGAGCAGATCAGAACTCAGGGGAACTTGACCATGCAGGGGTTCCCGCTCATCTCTGACCCCAGTGGCTCAGAGACGGCCTCGCAGGATGGGCATACAGAGACTGACACTGGAGGATCACCAAATGGTATCGTCACATCACCGCCTGAGCGGACCAACAACGGAGTGCCTGTAACCAGCAGAGACTCTCCTCAGATGCAGGAAGCCCTGAAACGCATCATGGAGACAGATCCTGGGACATACCTGTGGTTCCTTGAACGCCAGGTTGACAGAGAGGTGGAGGAACGCCAAGCAGCAGCTGACAGAGAAGTTGCGGAACACCAAGCAGCGGTGGGCAGAGAAGCTGCGGAATGCCAGGCTGAGAGAGAAGCGGCGCAGAGGGAAGCTGATCGTCGGCACAAGCTGGAGATGGCGAGGCTCCAGCCACAGAGACAGGTGCAGAACCCCGGGTCCTTAGAGCATAGGGACGCCTCTCTGGCCATGGGCACAGCAGCCAAGTTTCCAGTGATGGAAAAAGATAGTGACATTGACACATATTTACTGTCATTTGAAAAAACGTGCCGTCATTACATCTGCCCCAAACTCAATGGGCTCGGTACCTGACACCAGGGCTACGAAGCAAGGTCCTGGTCGTGTTTCTCGAATTGCCAGAGGAGCAGGACGACGATTACGAAGCTCTAAAAGATGCCATCATCCAGAAGTACCAGATGACCCCAGAAGTGTACCGCAAGCGGTTCAGGTCCTTGCAAAAGGGACCTGGGGACTCTTACACGGATGTGGTGAGTCGGTTACGCACCACATTCCAGCAGTGGACTAAAGGACTGAAAGCTGACTCCTATGAGTCTTTAGAAGATCTCATGATACGAGATCAACTCCTGCATATCTGCCCGGCAGACGTCAGGCAGTTTGTCTTAGAAAGAGAACCAGCATCTGCTAAACCTGCAGCCGATTTGGCAGATACCTACGTCTACACGCGGGTGTCTGACCCTCGCAAGGCTCCTCTAAATGGCTGGAAAGGACTGAAATCGCCCCCAGCAACCCCTCCTACGCTGGTGAATCAAGCTCCCCTTCACCCAACACCTGCAGCGCCTGGGGCCAAGCCATTCCTGACTGACAACCGCAGATGTTTAACCTGTGGGAAAGCCAGACATCTCAGGACGCAGTGTCCTGAGCAGAAGCAGATGACATCATCTGGCCAGCCGGCCAGCAACTCTTCTTCCGTGCTGTTTGTCCGCAGGAAGATGCTGGTAGCCCCGCCAACTTGCAGCCAGTCACTGTGGGCAACCGGTCTGTAACTGGTTTACGGGACACCAGGGCAGAAGTCACCTTGATCCGGCCAGAGGTGATTGAGCAAAGGAACCTCATCCCAGGAAAGTTCCTTACCCTCACGGGAGTTGGGCGGACCCATTCATGCATTCCCTGTGCAAAGGTATTCATAGATTGGGGTGCGGGAAGGGGGATGAGGGAGGTGGAGGTCTCGGATGAAATTCCCACACCTATTTTGTTGGGTACCGATTTGGGTACTCTTGTGTCCTATTATGTCCCTGCCGAGAATACCCGGAAGGCCCCCC